TCCTGAGCTCAGGTGATCCTTCCACCTCAGTCTCCTAAGGTACATAATATTTTAATAGCAAAGCACTTCTCTGCAATGCAGCCATTTTAAAAAATGAGTTCAATTCATATATCATTAAAGCTTCATATAGGACAGACTGGTAAGAGACCATAAATAAAAGCTACTGTCCTCAATTAGATGCCTCACTCTTGATTATACTTTCAACAACAATTTAGTCTACTGTCTATTTCTTTCTCCCTCAATCAATCTCTATCAGGTAGCAATCAAATTACCTCTTCCACTTAAATTGGGGGATTAGGTCCTAATTTTCTTTAAAAGTACTCACCAAAAAGAAGATAAATTATGTGTTCATACTGATTTTCTCTCATCTTTTCTAATACTTCACCAATCCATGTAGCATAGGTCAGGTGCTCTTTACTCTGGGAAGGCTACAATGGGTGGGGCTGCAGAGATTTTGTGAATCTCTCAATTTGCATGCCATATTTCGAGGTTACATGCTGATGTGTACTGTGTTTTATAATGTCTACCATATTTTCAAAATGGGCTATAAGTCAAAAAAAAATTAGGACTCACTGAGATAGTCTCTTCTTCAGTAATTAATATGCGTAAGATATGGCAAGGGGTTGATAATTAGTGTAGAATTTATATTTTAAACTTCAATTCACCCAGTGACATCCACCTCACACCATTCACCCAGGCCCTCACGTATCAAAAAAAAAAAAGAAACACAAAAAAGAAAACAAATGACCCAGCGGCTTGGTCAATTCCTATGTACCGTTTCCTCTACCTGACTACTATAAAAATGCAACCTTTTCAGCCTCTGTTGCATTAAGTTGGTGGCAAACTATTCTAGCCAAGGGACACTAAGCATAAATGGTGGTTTGACTTCCCAGAAGAGATTATTGGAAACCAACGTTCTTTTCCCATCTCTCTCTGTCACAGCCTCAGCCACTTTAGAAGTCACATGTCACAGGAAGACAGAGTAAGCTTGGATTCCTGAGTAGTTAGATGAAAGAGTACACCAAACCAAGTATTTTCAGGAGGAATAAAATCAAGTGGCTAACAAAAACTTTTATAGCTTTATATATTTTAGGAATTAAAATAGCTACAATTTTTCACTTCAAATAAAATATTGAGTCTAAAGCCATAAAATGGTAGACAGTTCATAATATTTCTATATCTACTTAACTCTACTTTGCAAAATAGATTATTGATTATTTATGGGGAAAAAAAGTGGACAGTAAAGACCAAGTATGTGCTTAAAGCAATGCTGGACATTTACGAAGTACTTTTGAATCTCCAAAATATAATCTGAAAATATCATAATAGTAGCTAACATTTAATAAGGCTTTATCAGGTGTTAGACCCTGTTTGCATGCTTTTTGTGTTTCACTTCATCAATTTTTTTTGTTTTGTTTTTGTTTTTTGAGACAGAGTCTTGCTCTTGTTGCCCAGGCTGGAGTACAGTGGCCCCATCTCGGCTCACTGCAACCTCCGCCTCCTGGGTTCAAGCAATTCTTCTGACTCAGCCTCCCAAGTAGCTGGGATTACAGGCATGCACCAGCACACCCAGCCAATTTTTGTATTTTTAGTAGAGATGGGGTTTCTCCATGTTGGTCAGGTTGGTCTTGAACTCCCAACCTCAGGTGATCTACCCACCTCCAGCTCCCAAAATGCTGGGATTACAGGAATGAGCCAGCATGCCCGGCCCATCAAATTTCTTAAAATTCATTTCAGCGAAGAATTTTAAGTAACCCCGTGTTACAGATGACACAACTACAACTTATAGTAACTTCTATCTGATTGCATAGCCAGCGATTCCTGAGGCCAGAAGTCAATACTAGTAGTCTGACTTCAAGCCCACTGCCTTAAAACACGTCTAGAATTGTTTACATATAAAAAGGTGTTTTCAAAATTGTTATATCCTGTAGGTACAAGCAAAAAAGGTCAGGATTTGAAAAATATATTCAAACCGTGAAATCACACCTTTAATAAAACTTGAAAGCCTGTAACTTACAGGAAAAATAGCAACCATAAAACAAACACTAACATACTACATGTTTTCTAAATGAGAGGCATAGATAACATTTACATTTAGTTAACTTTTGCTTAGGGTTATTGTTGCTATGTAAGAATCAGAAGATAAAATCCAACTATTCTAATCAAGAGATTTGTGCCTACAGTATGAATCAGACGAAAGATAATTACATAATCAAATTTCATTTCTTTGATATAAATCATAGCATTTAACAACTATTTGCCTTGCAAATTTTTGTCTTTTCATAATTTTTTTTTCAGTTAAATGTTTCTACTTACTACAATGAATTATAGTTACAACTTATCTGGCTTTGGATGTATCCACTTCTGAACTCTAAGTTATGTTTGGTTGTGCAGTAACTTTATTAACCAGAAAAAAAAGAGTCTGATACATAATAATCTGCCCCGTTCATTAGAAATTGAGGATTTGTTTTGAAAACAGCTTTGAGGTTCACCTAGGTAGCTAATCAGTCATCAGTCTTGCACTATGATCAACAAGCAAGGCTACAAAACTTCTTCCACTGAGAGCACTGACTTTTGGGGTTACTGAAATACTTTAGAACACATGCCTGGATAAAACATGTCCTCTGCCCTCATGAAATTCAGTCGAGATGGGCCTATATGGCAAAGTTAAAATAAAATATTTTTTAAAAGAATAAAGAAAGGAGTGTGGACCCAAGGCAGAGAACTACTCAAATGACAAGGATGACTGAAATGAAGGTAGTATTAGGAAATGGAATCTGGCTAAGTACCTTTCATTTCTGTGTCTCAGAAAGTTTTTGGTTCATATTCCATTCAAGGCCAACCTCTCTAACTCACTTTTTAAAAATCTCTTCTCAACTTCTCTGACATTTCCCTATTTTAGCAATTTGTCATTCATTCTTTCACTCTCCACTGACTGTTGCCCCTTCCCTTAGTGAAAAAGACATGCTTCCACTATTCTGCAGAGGAATAACCCCCACTGTTGTACAACAATCTCTTCTGTGCTTAGTTCTTCAGCTAACTCTCACTTTCTTATTGTTACTGAATTTCTCTATAGAGTTGTTTAAATGTGTTGAGGCCTCATGTTCTATCTCCCAATTTACTAGTGACTCATCTTGAAATCTGGTTTACAATCTGAATTTTACCTTCCCTCTCCCAATTCTACTCAACTGCTTTCAAAAATTACTTTCCTTTTCACTGCCAGAGTGATTTTTTTCTCATTTTTTGTCTCCTCTTAGCATAACTAGTTACTTCCTGGTTTTTCTCTTTTGACCTGGCAAAGTGCCATCCTCATTTACCTGCTATGTATTAATCTATTCATTCTCTGGCATTTTGTTTTGATTTTCCTCCTTTCTGACTGCTGGTTATAGAGAGATGCACCAAGGTTTGTCTTTCAATCCCTTCTTCTTACTGTACATTCTCTCTGGGTATTTTCTTTCTGTAACAGCACTATCAGTTCTATGTAAACAAGTTTCAGATGTTTTTCTGTAAATTTAACCCTCCCAAACCAATTACATGTTCTCCCTAAAAAGAAAGAGAAAACATCAATTTTAACACCTATATCTCTTATCTTAACAAAGGGCAATGCTCCAGGCTTAGTCATCCAAACTATAAATCTTGAGGTTATTTTCTGCTAACCTTCCTACCTACATGTTGAGAAATGAGTGATAAAACAGTAGCATTAAAAACACACACATACATTTACTGTGCCCACTTTTTAATGCTTTTTTACTTCTTTGAAAGCAACACCTCAATTTTCCTGAAATATCTTTGAGTAGGTTATGCAATTTTATTGTTGAAGATGGACCGCTATTTAAAAAAAAGGAACTAAATACTTTCTTCTTATTAGGATGACTAAGAGATTAGTCAGAAATTATATCTAGCACTTCTAGTTGAGTGATTTCACCTAGCAGCAAGAGTAAAAATTTTTTGTAGTGCAGCTCAGAAAAGTCAGACACTAGCATTTCAGTAATCTGTTTGGTGTCCATTTGTTTTTTCATTTTTTAACATGCCATGGATATGTTACATTCAGCTATTCACTTAACAAGTAAGAAGTTTCCAGTTGTTCTAGTCACTAAATAACACCACTGGTGTTTGCAATTTTTTTCAATATTTTTTACGTACTTTCTCAAACTATGAAACAAGACATTGTAGATAAGTCATAATTTAGCCCCTTGAATCAGCACTAAGGTAAATAAAGGCAGTAGCTACAATTAATTACACAGTAACTCCTGAAGAACTGTTATTCAAGTATTTCAAACATGTGCAGTGTGCCTGTACATATATACTCTATTTAGCACAAGGGATACATTCTTAGAAAATGGGCCCCAGGAGAGGTCTTGATAGCCAGAACTTAGGCTAACACGATCTTGCTTCCCAGACAGCCAAAGTTCTTCCCTTCTCTTCAAATTCCCACCTCAGTTTATTTCTGTAAGCACGTATCCTGTTCCCAGGAGGTAGCAAGGCTTATTATGCTCTCTGTAATGTCCTAAGACTTCCGACAAGCCCCAATCTCATATTTCACCTGCTTCCTCAGCCTCTTTCTCAAGCACTTAAAAACCTTCTATGATTGTGTCAAGTCCAGTGCATTTTTCTACACCAAAGACACCCAACACACTTTGGGTCTTGCTGCAATTGCCGCTGCCAGCTAAATGTTGGAAGTACAAAGTGCTCTGCCTTCCTATAATAATCATTACTATCAAAATCAAATGAAAATGGAGCTAGTAAACACACTAAATTCTTCTAAACCACTATAATTTTCTTAACCCACTTCTGTTTATTTTATTTCGGATGTGATTACATGGGCCAATGTTTATTTTTAGAATAGCACTAACTGACCTCTTGCTTACGATTTGTGTTTTCTCATCTCCTGATTTTCAAAAGGTCTATGAATGTAGGGTAATTCAACCTACATAACAGTAAATTACAACCAAAAGATTATGATTATACTGTAACAACTGCCTATTACCACAAGAGAAAATGAGGAATTTCACCAGGGTTGTTTCAGTGAATTATTTGTAGTACTTTAAAATAAGTATTGTTTCCTAAAAATGATAAACAGGAAGAGTTTATCCATTTACTTGTTCACTTAATTTACTCACTCATTGATTTCCACTAGCACATACTCATTTATTCACATACTCACATATTCATTTATTGGCTTATCCCCGTTTGAGCAAATAAAATTTTTTGTTGATATAGTAACTTCTATATTCTCCAGTATCTGTTAAAAATACATTTTTCTCCATAAGGGACAGATGCTTCTTTGTTTTCTGTTCCCTACCTTTCCTCCCATTACATTCATTTTCTCCTTTGGAAGGTATGTAGCTCTTTGGACAACGGAAATTATTCTCAAAATTGTAGACTAAATAGTAAATATCATCTTAATTTTTAAAATATATGACTCATCTTGGAGGAAAAGAAAAGTCTATTCTTTTCACCTACCACATTGTTATTCTAAATAGATTAAAATTTATACTACCAATTATATTTATAAAAACAATAATTATATTTTCAATTTTAATGTTTATGAGAGCAACATACAGTTGTGGGACTCGAGCAGAATTCATAAAAAGATTGACTTTTCACAATTTTTAAACTTGTATTGCTTTCCAGATAAATGAATTACTTCACAGAGATGAATATCAGTTTACAAAAAAGCACTGTGCTGTGCATTATCTTTATTAGATTTGTGTAACCAAGAAGGCAAGATGGTGGCGGGTATGCCTCAGAGAAAACATGACACACACAAAGTAACATGGTGATCAGATGGGAACCTGTCACAGGAAGCCAAGTAACTGACTCCAAGTCCAGTGCTTTGTCCACTGTTTTCTTAGATGATTTTCAGTCCTCTTTGCTGTAAAGCTCCTGACTTCCTGCCAAACACATTGAAAGCCTTCAATGTAAACTAACCTGATTCTACAAGGGTTGACATATTTGAGCAACAGGCAGAAAATGGCCTATTTGAAGGCGTAAGAGACATGAAACCTAAATTTAAAATACATTTGATACAAAAACTATAACCTGAAGGTGACTAAAAGTATAATTTTAACTCAGTTTGAGGTTCTATAAAAATATATATTTTTTAAAAAGTGTCAATGCTTTTAAAAAATTCATTTTTTCATGTTACTTTCAACTGATGGAAAATATTTTAAAATAATTTTGGTTCTATAATGAACATAAATCAAACTTTCCTCTGAGTTAAAATTTCCTTTTTAAAGAGATCTCCTCCCAAGTAGCAATTTTAATATAGTATAGTTGGGTATTTTATTGTAATATGAGTTTTTACTGTTTGTTTACAAATATGTCAGCATAGCTCCAAAATTATAATTACATTAAAATGTAGGCGCTCGATCTCTCAATCCTAAACTAAATACAATATAGATAGTTTATTTATTTTTGTTTTTTTAAAAAAATTGTAGAGACAGGGCCTTATTATGTTACCCAGGCTTGTCTCAACCTCCTGGACTCAAGTAATCCTCCCACTGCAGCCTCCCAAAGTGCTGGGGTTACAAGTGTGAGCCACCATGCTTAAATTCCTTTTTTTAAAAGTGATTTGAAACAATCTGGTAATGGAGACTGGTACAATGTCGCTATACCTATTGAGGTAACAGAGACATAAGAGCTTTCCAACCCAAGGTCAGAAATCAATGAAACAGCTTATGAAACTCTCACTATTTTAGTATTTTAAATTGAGAATGATGTATTTTTCTCTTGGGCAACAAATAATCTTCATTTTTGACGTAAATGATCATGGTGGCTTCAAATGGCCCAGGCAAGCTTCAAAACAAAACTGCAGGACCACATTTTTCTATCCTGATAATAGTAATATAAGGTCTAAATAAGTGAAATTGGATTTAAATTATTCTAGGAAAATATATGTGGGTATCTTGTATCTAGTCAGTAGATTTATTCAGTAAAATAATAATTCTCATAACATAAGCTCTTCTCAGAATAATGGGACAATATGGCAAAAATCAAGAAGAAAGAAAACTGCATTTAAAAACTAATGATCCTCATTTACGTGAGAGTTATGAATATTTAAGGAATATAAATAAATGATTTAAACAGATATTGGTAGAAATTTCTGACTCTATGACATTGAGATGCGGAATCTATTTTGGGTGGACACAGTTGAGGATCATTTTCTATGTTTTCCAAAGGGATACTATATTACTGTAAACATTGCCCAAGGATATCACTTCACGTTGTTTTTTGCCTTCAGCTTAGCTGTCTCGCCTCATTCACCTGCAAGCTTTTGTACACTGTGGACCCCATCCTGCCACACAAATTTGACCTCTGGCATTTGACAACTTAACTAGGAAAAACTTCCACTGACTTACGGTTGTACCTCTTCCTAAGACTGTCAATTCCCATCAGTCCTACCTCATAAAATAGGCAGCTAAATAACAACTTCTGCTGGAGACAAAACATAAAAAGAATAGCAAAAAACAAACAAACAAAAATCCAGCCTATTGAACACTGTTATAAGTGGTTTACGTTTATTAATTTGACCCTCAAAGCAATCCTATTATTCTTTTATTAAAACTCATTATACAAAGATTAGAAATCTGAAGCTTAGAGAGGTCTAGTAATTTACCCAAGGTAGCAGAACCAGTAAGTGGCAGAACTAGGGATTCAGCCCATGTTATCTGGCTCTAGGGCCAACGCTTTTAACCATAAAGCTAAGCTGGTACTGCACCTTTCCAGTTCTACTTGGGAATAATGTGAAAATTAGTAGTTTCTGCAAATTATGTCTAATGCATCAACAATGTTTTACACATACACACACAGAGCAGTTTATACAGCAGTCTTTCTAAATAAAAACGGTATTTGAAGAATATTTGGCTTGTTCCATGTATAATTTTTTAAATTGAAAGATGATTTAAAAATGCATATCATTTTTGCTGTGCAGAAGCTGTGGAGTTTCATTAGGTCCCATTTGTCTATTTTGGCTTTTGTTGTCAATGCTTTTGGTGTTTTGGTCATGAAGTCCTTGCCTACACCTACGTCCTGAATGGTTTTGCCTAGATTTTCTTCTAGGGTTTATATGGTGTTAGGTCTTATGTTTAAGTCTTTAATCCATCTGGAGTTAATTTTAGTGTAAGGTGTCAGGAAGGGGTCCAGTTTCTGCTTTCTGCACATGGCTAGCCAGCTTTCCCAATACCATTTATTGAACAGGGAATCCTTTCCCCATTGCTTGTTTTTGTCAGGTTTGTCAAAGATCAGATGGTTGTAGCTGTGTGGTGTTACTTCCGAGGTAAATATATTTTTAAAGAAACATTGATACTTCTATCAATTACTAAAAGCCAATATTTATTGGAGCTCTTTAAATGTATTAATATCATTTATTGTCCATGATAATGCAATACAACTGATACTATTTTTAGTTTAATATGTAGTCAGCGAACCTTAGAGGGGTTAAGTAACTTGCTTACTGTTACACACTGGATGCCTCAATTTGAAAGTTTGCACTAAACTATGCTACTTGTCCCTTCAGCATACATGCCCATCCTTATTTACTTATCATAAAAGGTACATTTACAGTTGAGAGGTAGTGTTATAATCCAGAAACAGCATGAGTTTTGCTTTGTTGGTTCTGTTGTTTGTGGGGGGAGAGGGAGAGAGAGAAAGAGAGAAAAAGAGAGAGAGAGAGAGAGAGAGACATTGTGTGCGTGTGTGTGTGTGTGTGTGTGTGTGTGTGTGTGTGTGTGTGTGTTTTCTAGTTTTGCTTAGTTTTCCAGTAAGACAGAGTTGGGCCTGAGTTCTGACTCAGTATTTTTCTAGTTGTGTGACCTCGGGAACATTACATAATAACATCAACAATTTACTGGCTATTTTCCATATGCTAGCCTTTGTGCTAAGTGCTTGGCATAGGCAGTCTCATAAAATTAAATCTTCATTAAAACGCTGAGAAGGAGATAATATTATTCATCTTTTAGACAGGGTAAGATTATTGCTAAGAGAGGACAGGTCAAATAGCCAGTAAGTGAATGGCAATCCAAATTGAGTTGGAAGGAGGTTCAGACACAATCCCCTTGCTGGTACCATGCTATGAAAAGGCTTAGGACTGATTTGGGAACTGGCACTCACTGCCAGATTTACAACTTATGAGGACCTCTAAAAATGAATGGACTCTGGAGCCACAAGTCCTCCGTTTAAATCCTCGTGTCCAGTTGTGAGGCCTTGGGTTGCTTATCTGGTTTCTCTTGCTACCAGTTTCTTCACTTGTAAAGGTGAAATAATACGGCCTCAAGGTGTTTTTGTGAAGAACAAATAAGATAATCACTGTTAACAGGACCAAAGGTAGTAGGTAATCAATATATTATTACAACTCACCAAAGAGATCCTTTTAATTTTGAATAATTCTGATTCAGTGAGCTTTTATTTCCACATAAAAATAATGAACAGGAATATTTTGTTTTTGAAGTGAAAAACTCCTCTAAAGTATCAAAAATGTCACTATCTGGGCTCATTGCTATGTTTGTCATCTCTTTTAAGTTGCTCTGCACACATCTTATTTTTAAATTTATTTTCTACATGGATATGCCTAATGAGGCAAGAAATGTTATTTATTACAACAAAGGAAATAATTATAGCATAAAAGGCTTATATTTGACATTTCTCAATCTCAATTATAAATATTCTGCTCATTGTCTACTGGTATGAACAGCTCCCATGCTCTCCAAGAACAGAACAGAATAGAAGCGAGAGAGTAAACAATGGGAATTGAGAAATACAGTCTTATGAACTGAGTGATGGCAGAAATTCTCATAGAAATTATGATTGGGATTGAATCCTTATTTTGAGAATTAACACTCACTTCTAAGACTTTCAGTGATTAAGTACCTCATACTCTTTGTGAAATAAGTGTTATAAATTCCCACTCCCAAAGTACTTAAACTATTTCTTCACATTGAACTTCCAAGAAAGAGAATTCATAATTTACGTTCTTATACTCATTTCATTTCTTGTCCCAAGGGAATTTAAGAGCTCTAGAAATAGAAAAGAAAAAATGTGCTCTATAGGCCAACTTGCAAATAATGCTAACTACTAGCTTGAGGCTGTGTCACACATTTTTAAAAATTGTAAACTCACTATAAATGTTAAGAATAAAAGCATGAAAATTTTACTTTTCTGTTTCTACATATGAAAGAATGACCCATTTTAATGCACTATAAAGACTTTAAAACACTTCATTTAGTTATACTTTGAGGTCTAGAGGGAATAAACTTGAATATTTTCATGTGTGAATAAAATGCTTTAACAATCTTTTTGTTTTAAAAATTAAGCGTCCTACAGTTTGTGTCCCCTCATCAATTCACCCAGACCTTCTGGAAAGTGGTATAGGTGCAGGCCTGCTGCAATCTCCTGCCTGGTGAGAATTAGAAGAGAACAACGCAGAAGGACCCTGGCCCACTGGTGG